TTTTTTTAAATATTCATCATAATTTAAAGTAAAGTTATAATCACCTAATTCAGGCCTATTTGTTTCTTCAGCAATAGAACCTTTATTAGATGAATTAATTATATCTGCAATATCTACCTGTAAATCTAAGATTATATCAAATATTTCTTTTGCAGCATTTTGAAATGTTGATGTAGCCCTTTGATGATCCTCAAATTTAGCGTAATCAATTACCACCTTATTATTTAGTTCTTTCAATGCTTTAAAATAATTTTTTGCAGCTAAAATATCTGTAAATCTTGCAGAATACTCAAAACTTCCAACTATATGTTTTGAAATTACCTTTGAAGTTTCGCTTTTAATTGATTTTAATGCAGCTTCAATCTGGCTTATACTATTATTTACATTACTAGCAGTAGAAACTTCACAAGCTTTTAGTATTTCAGGATTAACATATTCAGCTTCTAGTACATTAATGCAATGCTGAGCATCTTTTGTAGATTTTTCAAATAACTCATTAACTTTATCAAAATTACCTTTAATACTTTCTATTGATGCCTTAATTGAACTTTCTAGCTTAATGTCATTTTTTCTAGCAGATTGTTCATTTTTAACTTTTTCATCATTAGCTTTAAAAGAATTATGAATTAAAGTGTAATATTGCTTTAAATCTTTCTTTTCTTTTATTTCATGAAAAATATTATCAGTATTAACTGGTGTTGGAATTGCAACAGCATTTGAATTATTATTCTTAATTGAAAATAAATCATTTAAATTTTTCTCAGCATCATCTACCAATACTGGAAATTTTGTTTTTTCAAAAAAAGTTTTGAACTTTGTCGTTGTATTATTTAAATTGTTTAAATTGCTAATCTGTTTATTAAGATTATTTATTACGTTATTTGTCATACGTCCCTCACTATTTAATTAATTTATTTTGATTAAATTACTTTACATAAATCTACATATGTAAAAGTATGTTAACCAACTGAAGGAATTATACACTTATAAGTTGTATTGTCAATACTGCATATTGAGATTTTTTCAAGTTTTATGCAAAACAATGCAAAAATGAATAAATATTAGCTAATACTAACTGCTAAATAGAAATACTAAACATCAAGAACCTCATTTAATTTTAAATTACAACTTATTTTATCTTTTTTAGTAAGGTAAAAATAAAATTATACTAATTACTAACCTGAGCTGCAGATAAGAACTACTCTATAAAGAACTAGAAAGCAAACATACATCAATATTTGCTACAGTTA